TTCCTGTTGTTGTTAAGTGCTGTCGAGATGTAGATGACTCATAGCGACCCTATAAATGAAAGACCTGACACTTGTATAACTTTCATCGTTCCTCCACATTCATAGAGTTTCCAGAGGCAAGTTATTTTGGAAGTGGTTGCTACTCCTCCTTCCAAGCTTGTTTTAATTGGGAAGCTCCACCCAACACTGTCCACCATGGGCAACCATTATTAAGTTTGACACATCAGTGTCACAGTGTTTAGCATCACAGCAACTATGAGTTACCTCTGCACAGCAAATGGACAGACTAGTGCTATACCACTTAGAAGAATGTTTGACCAAAAACAATTAAAACCAGGCTTGAGGGCCACAGATTAAAATCACCCACCTTTGGTTTGATAGCATAACTTTCTATCTGCTAGTCCAACAGAGCTCTCTCATTGTTGTTGTTGTTGTTGTTGTTGTTGTTGTTGTTAAGTGCCATCAAGTTGTAGACAACTTATAGTGACCCTATGAACGAAAGACCTGAACCCTGTCTTATATACCCCAATTAACTGGAAGCACACAACAGTAATGATCCAGGAGTTTCCACTCATTTGATGGATCTGAAAACTGAGGTACAGAAAGACTGTGTTCAGAGCTGTGGAGAGTCTGAGATTTTACTCTACTCATGAGCTAACAAGTGTGAGTAGAAGCCTTAAGATCCCTGGATCAGAGACAAAGGGCTTTATCTTCATAACGCAGATGGCGGCATGAACTTCACCCTGGTATTCTCATCCTCAGCGGTGCAATGGAGGTGAATGTAAATGATGTCGGGCACACAGTGGGTTCACACTGCAGCCAAAGGACCATTAGCCTAGGAAACTTGAGCTCTTTGCCCCAGAGGGAGGCAATCATTGCCACCATACTGGTCCACTAGCTTTGTCCTCTGCTCCAATATATTCTCTAAGGATGCTCATCAAACGAACCTGTTTGAGAAGACAGTCCTCACAGAGATTCAGGGCCTCTTCTCATGAGATGTGCAGAAACACCACTGTGGAGAAGCACCACTGTGGAGAATTCCCCGCCAAGGTGAAATCACTTCCCCAAAGTTACGCAAAGGTAGAGACAGGGGATGAATGAGGTCTTCCGACTCCATTGGCCAGTGGAGACATGGAAGTTGGACTTCTAGCCCATAAATGATAGAAAGCCACCAATTGGCTGACAAAGAGAGGGGTGATAGAATCCTATTACGTTTAAAAGCCATTCTACCAACTCCATGCCATGAGGGGGAAAAAGGCAAAACTACAGATTGTAAATAGATCAGGCTGTCAAGAACTCAGGAGAAGAGGGAAGAATAAGTGGAACATTGGACAGTTTTAAGGTGGTGAAACTACTGTCATGTGCATGCATGATGTACTTGTTCAAATTCATAGAAATGCACAAGATGAAAAATGAATCTTAATGTAAACAATGTACTTTACCTGATTACAATGTATCAGTGTTGGTTATAATAGAGCACACTTCAATAAAGTACTCCTTATAAACTGATACATTAAAAGAATATATCAATCATATGGGAGGAGATTGCCCATCTCTCTCCCTCTAAGCAGTTGGTGGTTTCGAACTCTGTACCTTTGAGCTGACAGAGCAACTCTACCACTAACTTCCTAGGTTTTCCAATAGCAACTGCAAATTCAGCAGAATGCTTTGAATAAAAATTACCACTTTAAAAAAAAAGAATAAATCAATTGTAACAGGTACTGCTACACTAAGGCAAGGTATGACTAATAAGGAAAACTATATGCTATGGGAGAGGCTAGTATGAGGAAACTTTCTATAGCTTTTACCCAAATTTTCTGTAAAACTGCTCTAAAAATAAAATCATTGTAAAGGTACTTGCCGAGACCAGTTTAAGCAAACTTCTGTTCTAGTCTCTGAGTGCACTCATCCAGCTGTCCCCACACTCTCTCACAGGCAGCTGCAATAAAAGTGGCCAGTAGATGCCCAGTTCACAGCGGCTCTGCTGCCTGAGGCAGCAGGACCCTCTCAGCCTCTCCTGTCCCTTCTTATTTTCTGTGACATCTGTGTGCCTCCGTCTTCACAGAGCACAGGTAGCCAGGCGAGGAGTTGCAGGATCTCAAGGACTTCGGGGCCACCCCAGCCTATGTCTGCTTCCCAGGAGGTTTCCTCCCAACTGTGCTGCTGGCACTGGGTTTTCAGGTCACTGCTTTCACAAGTACACGCACACCCACGCACACACAGCTCATTGAATAGGAGGATGTTTGTTTCTTTTCTGTTTCACAACTCAGGTTTGGAATTCCAAAAAGTCCTGATGCTCAGAGTGAACAGGACAGATGCAAATGCCATGAACATGGGAGGAAGGATTTTCCCACTGGATGGGGTCTAGTGGCCTGGCCACCAGACAAGGACCCCAGAGCAACTCCCTTCTGAGAACTGTTCTTCTCTCCTCCTATGGCCTCGCTCGGTCACTCAAAGCCAAGCTCTTGGAACCAACTCATAGCTGACCCTCCAGTGCATTTTCAGGGGCTGTAAATTCCATGAGAAGAGACTGCCCATCTTTCTCTTGTGGAGCAGCTAGTGGATTCAAACCTACCTTTGGATTGGCAACACAACTCCCTATAGACTAGGCTACCACCACACCTTCCTCCTGCCCCTGTTGTTAAGAGTTGTGGCGTCCACTACAACTCATATTGACCCTATGAACAGTGAATTGGAACCCTGTCCTGTCCTGTGCCATCCTCATCATCTCTGACCCACTTGAGCCCTGGTACAGTCACTATGTCAGTACATCTCGTCCAGGGGCTTCCTCTCTTTCAGTGACCCTCTGGCTCTCCAAGCATGATGTCCCTTTCCAGCCCACTGGAGGTCATCACTTCACTTTATATTAGCTGCTATGGGGGTCCAGTGACCCCAGTTTGAGCCTTCCCCCAGACACAAATGCAGGCATGGAAGGGAGACCGTGGTGGGTTGGGACTTGACTTCAGACCCAGCAAGATGCAGCCTTCCAGGAGGTTCTCATGAACCACAGCCCCTTCCAGTACCCCAGGCTGCGATGTGATCACCCACAACCTGGCCTCTGACCCTTCTCAGCCCTGTTACATGCAGGTAAAGAAAGGCTTCTGGAAGACTAGAGCTGAGTGTGAAAGATGGTAAGTTTTTCTTAACGGTTTTAATTACAAAGCTAATTTCCACTAAGTATGCACAGACATTTTTGACATGAAAAAGTAAAATTGCTCCTCCGCCACCCTCCCACCACAACCCACCCACATGCCAGCTTGCTTGGTCACCTCTGGGCCACACCTGCCAAGTGGTCCTGGTGCCACCCTGATGTAACAGGTCTTCGACAACTGATCTATGCCCCCAAGGATTCAGGCAGAAATTACAGCACTTCTAAATTCACAGAGAGTTCTTGTTTGTTTAATGGGATGGAAGAGATTGAATCTGCTCCTTTAGCTGGGGGTGTAAATTGTCATTGTTGTTGTGTGCCACTGAGTCAGAACCGACTCACAGCTGATCTATGGACCTCAGGTGACTATAATACACTGAGAGATTAGGTCGAATCTCTCTCTCACACACACACACACACACACACACACACAATCTCTCTTCCCCCCCTTCCTCCCTCTCTCTTTCTTTTTCATCTCTCATCTCTCTCTCTCTCTCCCACTTTGACCTGTTTTCTCCACCCCCACACTCATCTCCCTGCACTTCCACCCTGAGCCACTTTGGGGTCTGGGTCCATGTTTAGATTCAAATGTTCCACCCAGTCCCACCACTGTGACCTTGGGCATCAAACTGACCTCCAGGGGAACTGATTTCCTCATTTGTTTTGTAAGCCTGTCCACAATGAGGTTTAATTGCTCGCTCAGCTCAGAGCCCAACAGGAAGCAAAGTTCCATCACTGGCTCTAATGTGGCCGGTGGTGGTGCAAGGGGCTGGGGCTCAGGGGCTGGGTGGTAGGGGGCTGGGGAGCAGGGAACTGGGGAGTAGGGGGCTAAGGTGCAGAGGCCTGGGGCATAGGGGGCAGGGGCGCAGGGGGTTGGGGCGCTTGGGTTGGGGCTCAGGGGACTGAGGTGCAGGGGCTGGGGCGCAGGGGCTTAGGTGCAGGGGATTAGGG